TTGATATCCGAATTCGTAATCGAATTGCGTGTATCGATGCTCATGATGTCAATCACTGGATTGTCTGGTCTCGACTCAAGACGGCCCTCTCATAGCTGGAATATTGCTCAGTGCGGCGTTAAACAACAAACCAACAAACTAAACTACCGGACAAAAGAAAGTACAAACATGGATATTTACACTTAATTCTGCTCATTATAATTACTGTATACTGAGAAATTGCGATCGCTTTGTTCTTTGAGACGTCATATGCAGGTCAATGTGGTGAGATACTCATTGATATGACGCATTTAACATCGCCTATGAAACTCTATGATCAGCATGTGATCGGCATCAAAAAAACATTTTTAGTCTGTTAATTCTTTAGCCATCGTCAAACATGGTTGTATATTTTCGTTATCCCGGCAGTTTATTTAGAACCACGTACGGCCATCCTTTTGTGTTACGCAAATAAAAGCGACAAACCCCTTTGCATAACCACAAGAAATCTCAACTAAAAGCCGAGTCCATTGTACGATTTTGACTATATCATGAGCACGTGTTTATGAATCTCAAACAAATAGTGGTGTTCGCAAAAGGAGTGAGTGAGTATGGTTTTACGCCGCTTTAGCCATAATCCAGCAATATCAAGGCGGGGGACACCAGAAATTGGCTAAACGCATTGTATCATGTGGGGAATCGAACCCGGGTCTTCGGCGTGACTAGCAAACGCTTTAACCACTAGGCTACCCCACCGCCCCTCACGAAAAGGACAAATATTGCTCAGTGGTATAAGGTTTCATCCAAGGGGACCTGGAGTTTGAGTCCTCCTGGTTCATGTATGAAATCACTTAAATTGAAGAAATATGGAGTCAGAATGTTATTATTTAACGCCACACTCAACAGAGTTCAAGCCATTTCAGTCAGTACATATTCGAGTCTGGGCCAGGTAAACCATTGCGCAACGTCCCAGGCCTTCGGGTCTCCGAACTTGATAACACGATTCATCAACACGTCGACAAGCACGGGTTGCCGTAGACACGTCTTACCTCGAATCCTCATGGGGACCCCTTAAAGGGCTACTTGGAAAATCGGTATTGGGAACATATTATTATGAAATGGATTATTATTAATTATAAAAATATACTTCTTAAAAAAGTTAAAGAACACCCGATCTTCTTTTCGTATGACTTTTATCATGGCTGGTGGGTATTGGGTGTTCTTAACTTGGTTTGAGTAGTATAATAAACAAGCATCAGGTGTACTTCGATGCAAGCTTCTATTTAACCTGTTGATCTTCACACAAGCAAATGTCAATGAGAGGCGTTCACAGATTATCCTAAAATGGCAGACACTTACTTGTGACATGTTATCTCTCGTTAAAGTATCAGATAGGCATAGCTTAATTACATTTTAAGTCATCTCAATCATCAGTTCTGTGTTATTACTTTGACAGATCTAGATATTATCCTACTGTTATTGTGTGTGTGACCTTTACTTGTAAATGTGGTAAATACTGACGCCAAGCAATAAGGGAACTGATTTAAAAGAAAACATGTTTTACATGACGAATGTTACTGTTGTTCTTGTTTGTTTGATTTTTATATGGAAGTAAATTAAATCATGTGTTTTTACGATGTAGAAAGCAGAGCTCAACTACCTACATTTTATGGGTAAATGGTCGCTTTAGGTCGAACAAATCAATACCCCTATTCCGTTTTGGAATAGACCACTCCACTACATCCTATATTGGTCGTTAGAGTCGACAAAATGAATCGGTGGTCAGACTCGGAGATTTGGGTGATTGGGGACGACTTTTGTGGAGGTATTTCTATCATTGAGTGTTCTGAAGGTGTTCGTCGGTCCACCAGTGTGTCATGCAGTTCTGTAGGTGTCCGTCTGTCCACCAGTGTAGAGGTATTTGTGTCATGCAGTTCTGTAGGCGTCCGTCTGTCCACCAGTGTAGAGGTATTTGTGTCATGCAGTTCTGAAGTTGTTCCTCTGTCCACCAGTGTAGAGGTATTTGTGTCATGCAGTTCTGAAGTTGTTCGTCTGTCCACCAGTGTAGAGGTATTTCTGTCATTGAGTTTTCTGAAGGTGTTCGTCTGTTCACCAGTGTAGAGGTATTTGTGTCATGCAGTTCTGAAGTTGTTCGTCTGTCCAACAGTGTAGAGGTATTTGTGTCATGCAGTTCTGTAGGTGTCCGTCTGCCAACCAGTGTAGAGGTATTTGTGTCTTGCAGTTCGGTAGGTGTTCCTCTGTCCACCAGTGTAGAGGTATTTGTGTCATGCAGTGTTCTGAAGGTGTTCGTCTGTCCACCAGTGTAGAGGTATTTGTGTCATGCAGTTCTGTAGGCGTCCGTCTGTCCACCAGTGTAGAGGTATTTGTGTCATGCAGTTCTGTAGGTGTCCGTCTGTCCACCAGTGTAGAGGTATTTGTGTCATGCAGTTATGTAGGCGACCGTCTGCCCACCAGTGTAGAGGTATTTGTGTCATGCAGTTCTGAAGTTGTTCGTCTGTCCAACAGTGTAGAGGTATTTGTGTCATGCAGTGTTCTGAAGGTGTTCCTCTGTCCCCCAGTGTAGAGGTATTTGTGTCATGCAGAGTTCTGAAGGTGTTCGTCTGTCCACCAGTGTAGAGGTATTTGTGTCATGCAGTTCTGTAGGCGTCCGTCTGTCCACCAGTGTAGAGGTATGTGTGTCATGCAGTTCTGTAGGTGTCCGTCTGTCCACCAGTGTAGAGGTATTTGTGTCATGCAGTGTTCTGAAGGTGTTCGTCTGTCCACCAGTGTAGAGGTATTTGTGTCATGCAGTTCGGTAGGCGACCGTCTGCCCACCAGTGTAGAGGTATTTGTGTCATGCAGTTCTGAAGTTGTTCGTCTGTCCACCAGTGTAGAGGTATTTGTGTCATGCAGTTCTGAAGTAGTTCATCTGTCCAACAGTGTAGAGGTATTTGTGTCATGCAGTTATGTAGGCGACCGTCTGCCCACCAGTGTAGAGGTATTTGTGTCATGCAGTTCGGTAGGTGTTCGTCTGTCCACCAGTGTAGAGGTATTTGTGTCATGCAGTTCGGTAGGTGTCCGTCTGTCCACCAGTGTAGAGCCATTCTTACATGCAGTGTTCGGTTGGTATCCTACAGTGTAAGAGGTATTTCAAATTCATATAAGTTGTAGTTTATTTATCGCTATCCGGCAGGGGCATGTATAACACGAAGAACACAAGTAGAGTTTCACAGTTCAGCAAAGGGTGTAGTATGAAGCACTGCAACAACTAATTGTACTAAATATAGTTGCTGCAGTTAAACAGAAAGTTGAGAAGCAGCTGAAGTGAAGAAGTAACGTTGAGAAGAAGCGTTGGCAGATTGACACGTCCAGTAATACCATTACCTCGGGACAAAGTTCTGAGGGACATTGTCAATAAAAAAGGGGAATCTGATTTTGCACAGCACACATGTCAATTATTAAGTCTCAGCTGACATGGTATTTGTGAATTCTCGGCAGATTGGTCATTTTGAATCGTCTTGGGGTGACAGTGGATAATTGAGGATTGTCTGGAGAATCCTCTGGACACTCCATGCCAGAACTAACTCATCATTATGCATTTGTTGGCACCATGTTTGGTTCATTTACATGATATACTAACCTTTCGAATGTCGGAATTGTGTTTTTCACTTTTCGAGTCCGAGTTTAGTAAATGTTACTGAAGTCATTTGTCAGAAATCCCTCTCAGCTGTCTTAAGGCGTGGATTATATATAGATTTGTTTTATTTTTCCCCGAGCTGTAAGAGTGGCTGAGAGAAACCAGGGCAGGTGTACTCCACCTGAGATGGGTTATCATCATTATTTGCGCACAGAGCACTTATGCACAGTGAATGCTGCGCTATACAAATCCATATATCATCATCATCATCATCATCATCATCATCATCATCATCATTATCTTTATTATTATGTGCCCTGAGTGTAGCTCATTGTATTTGTAACTACGAGAAAGATCAGCTCTAAGATTAATACTCATCTATTCAAGCTAATAGACAAACAAATGCTAAGTTGCTGGGGCTGACAATTAAGAAGAGTCTGGTCCCCCTTTAAGCAGGATATCAAAGAAACAGGTTGTACCGTTTGTATATGGGATGTGAATGTTTGGTCCAGTAAATTCTTGTAAAAAGTTAAGTCGAATCCGCCTTTTAGATAAATAAATTTTATAGATGTATTAAATCAAACACATTTTTGTTGACAAACTGCACACAGGGCCACAAAGTGAGATCGCTATATCCGTTATTTTGTTATAAGCGTATTCGTTATATACATCATATTTCTATGATACAATATACAGAAAATGACCGGGACCAAGAAAAGCCAATCCCAGAATGTCACATGGTCGGTCCCTAACGACTGATCGACGTGCTTATCACACATTTACGAATCAATGTTATTAACATGAAATACCCCTTTAAAGTAGAATGAACGGTAACCTTGACTTATTGAACAGTGTAATGCTAGTTACGGTTGATGCAATTAAAGTGAGTAATAGGACCTGGTAACATATCAAGGGTGAAGGCTATCGACTGTAGGGTATCCCTTTAGTGTATGCTCTAGTGACCACCCCTTCACAAACAAAATAGTCCTGTTTCACATATGCATATCGTATGACCATGTGCGTTTCTGGATGTGTTTTTCGAAATACTGCTTGTCATATGTATCAATGTACAGACTGATTCCAGTGTCACCGTCGCCATCTCTACCGTCACATCACCACATCAATTCGGTCACTAGCAACACCAACCATCACTCAGTCTCAACATGTTGCATTATATACCGACCCGGGTATAATAGGTCTTCAGCAACCCATGATTGCCTTAAAAGGCGACTTTGCTTGTTGGAAGAGGCGACTAACGGGATCGGATGGTCAGGCTTGGTGACTTAGTTGATGCATGTCATCGAATCCCAATTGCGTGTCATTGCTCGCGATGTCAATCACTGGATTGTCAGGTCCAGACTCGATTATTTACAGACCAGAGTCATATAGCTTGAATATTGCTAAGTGGAACGTTAAACAACAAACAAACAGCACCCGTCACACACCCTCATCTACGCCATACACTCAATTACCAATCTCATCACAACAGATGTTTGGCAAATGAAGAAGGATTCCCTTTTCAAACCAACCAACCGCCAAGACGCCATGATAAATCCCGGCATAAGACACTCCAGCTTTGCTGTACACAAACTATCAAATTTACCCAGCCCGGGTGTGCGAACCTTACCTACGCTAGAATGACTAGCCCCTACTCGAAGTTACCCTAGCTGCTGGAGTACACCGAGCGGGGAACAAACACTCAACATAATGACAATAACACAGAGGACATCAAGACCATTACCAAAACCATGACAGGGAACGAAATACCCGGCTTCGAGTCTTTCCGTTCAGGCTTCTCAGCAAACAGCCCTCGGGGTAGAATGTTTGACTCGTGCAGGGAGTTTACACACGATCGTGTGTGGTTCTGATTCTCGCAGTCCCGGCTTGATCATAATATTTGGCCATGGAGATATACGAGATAAGCTCGTGGTGTTTAACAACGGGTTGTCCGCACTCTGTCTTGGTTGTAGGTTGTTCGGTGCTTTTGTCAGAGCGTAAGAGGAGTTGTTGAGTTTAGGAACATCGACATATGAAAAAAGCCTAAGGAGTGACTTAAGGTATAGGGTTTACGAACATACCGATCGTGTATTGTTACCGGACCAGGGACAAGATCCTTGGTGATATCCATTTTGTTTTCTGTGATTGTTGTGTGGGAATAGTCACTTCCTGTTAATACTTTACTCAGAAACGAGAGGTAAGTAAGCTTTAATTCATTCCTAAATAAAATGCAGGGCAAAAGAATGTGTACACCCATGTTTTATGCTGGCTAAAATTGAAACAAACAAAAAATGCTTATTCAATGTATTTGATACGGGACTCATAGTTGTATATTGGACCTTAGGTTTTCAGTGTTTGGGTGACTGTTCAAGCCTAGTAACGTTTGAGAGGGAGGGTACATGTTATGAATTGAACAGAAACATATTACAGACGGACCGAAACAGGGTGTAAAAAAGATGTTCTTAATCAAAGGGGAAGGAGTCGTACTCCTTGCCCCCACCCTCCATCGGAATTAATCACGGGTTTTCGGCGTGACGAGGATCGCTAGCGCTTTGATCACTAGGCGACCCCAACACCCTCATAAATACAACAGTATACTCATAGTAACTTATCTCTCAAACGAATAATATCTCAATAATTGTTTTACTTTAACTAAACGACAAAAAGTAAGTCAACATTAACCTTTGTCGCTTTCCCGTGGGAATTCCGGGTGAGCGTGATTCACCAGAACGTTATGCTTGTAGGAGCTGACTGACATAGGGATCGGTTGGTCAGGCTCCCTCAACTGGATGATTGTGTGTCATCGTGCCCCAATGACAAGGATAGTTGCTCATGCTTTCAGTCACTGGTTTTCCCGGTTAAACTCGTATATTTACAGGATGCGGTGATAAGGCTGAAATATTATTATATATTTGAATGTTAAACAATTTTCTACTTCACAAATGTAAGAAAATATTGTTTATGCTTATAAAAGTTCCCTGTTAAACGGGCGGTCGGGTAGCTAATTGGATAAAGGGTTCGCTCGTCAAGCCGAAGACCCGGGTTCGATTCCCCATATGGGTACCATGTCTGGTGTCCATCTCTGTGATATGGCTGGAGTGTTGCTGAACGCGGCGTTAATAAAAGCTACAAAACCCTTTCCAAATTAATAAGAAACCTCTTACAAATGCAGAGATGATTGTACGATTCCGACTATATCATGAACATGTGTTTATTAATCACTATCAAATAGTATCCTGCCACACCAGTGGCACCGTCACCATATAAACCATACTCACTCTCTCACGCCCTATTGAAGACGTATAGTTGTAACATATCGGGAGGGATAATACGGGAACTATTCGTCATTGGTAGCATTGGTGTAAATGTGTGATAGTTAGATCAAGTAAATGATCTCATAATAGATCAAAACACATATATGAAGCACATGTAACACATGTGGTATCTCCTTTGGGCAAGTGACTTTGTGCCTCTTCTCATCGAGCAGTGAATGGGTACCCGGTAGGATGAGATGACAATGGAGTTAACCTCCTGGCGCCTAACAGGCAGCTTGGGTTGTATACTCCTCAGGGAGCTGAGCATGATTGTTGAGTGCACACTAATCCAGTGACCGGGGTAGTAATTATTATTATGATGATGATGATGCTAATGATATGTTTCTAGTAAGTTTGCATCCTTTTGTCGATTTGTTTTTATCTAGTAACTTTTATAGTCACAATACGACTGAAATAATGTTGGCGTGACTTTATATCTCAGTCACTGATGTGTCGTATCAACAATTGTGCATGACCATGGGAGGCCAAGAATGCATTGCGAGACTCTTATAGAACTATGCTGAAGTCTATTTCAAGTCTAGGTCGAGTGAGTGAGTGAGTGTTTAGGTTTAACTCCGCTTTGAACAGTATTTCACTTTTATCATAGCACCTGGGCGGCAGGTTTATTTCTAAAAGAAAACCTTTCTCATTTGCAAAAACTTCGGATGGGTGGTGAGATGGCCATGAGACGTTAGATGTGTTTGGGCGTTTGGATGTGTGGTATATGTAAGCATGTACGTGTTCAAGTGAGTGAGTTTGGTTTAATGCCACTTTGAACAGTATTGCAGTTATATCACGACGTGTCAGCTTAATGTGGGAGGAAAGCCCGAAGTGATGCAGGTCTTAGACGTTTACCAGTTTAGTGAAACCCACGTACGGGTATGGTACTGACAAACCTAGAAACATAATCAGGGCGAATTTGGGATTCGAACCCATGATCATAAGTTGCATATTGTCTCAAATGAAACTGACACATTGTGTCTGTGAGTGAATGAGTATCTTTTACTCCGCTTTCAGCAATATTACGGCGGGGGACACCACAAATGGGCTTCACACATTGTACCCATGTTGGGAATCGAACCCGGCCTTCGGCGTGAAGAGCGAACGCCTTAACCATGAAGCCACCCGACCGCCCTTATTTCTGCCTTATCAGGGTGATCAAACATAGATTTAACATGACTTTGAGCTAGTGAACAGTTTGATTGACTTGGACCAAAATTGTTAGGATTCCAACTAGGCCCTAGAAGTGTGTCCCACTCTAACATTCCAGTTGCTTACTCATGAATAACCATTCCTTATTGAACCCCATGTGATCTTCAGTAAACAGGTAGCAGGTGATTATATACCGGGATGAATAGAATATGGAAACCCGATTAAATAATACACGCATTTACACCGACATATTGTATTCCATGTCCCTTAAGGCACAAATGTGATTCAGCTATTTAACAATGCATGATTTACAGACAATAAAACGAAGCTATAAAACACGTATATAAAACTAACATATCATTACCTCAGCTGGGTAGTCAATAAATAGTTCAGCTGTATTGTAAAGTACAATAACAACTTGAAACATGACACGTCAGTGAACTATCGAATTAACGGCTCCATGTGTAGATGTGGGCGGTCCATGTATGTGATTCGCTTCAATTATTTCAACATTATTTTACCCAGCGTCGTATCTGTTTTTACATGATGTATGACTGTCACGATGAAAACTGAACAAAGGGGGCACGGATGGCCTAGTCGTCTAAGGCGCCGCGATTTGCTGTGCAGAGTTGCGTCCCTTGGGCACGTCAGAAACCTATGATTGTGGGATCAAAGCACGGTCGTCCCGATTATGTTTCTAGGTTTGTCAGCACCATACCCGTGCTCGTGGGATTCACCCAAGTGGTAAACGTCCGAGACCTGCATCACTTCGGCCTTTCCTCCCACATTAAGCTGACACGCCGTGATATAACTGGAATACTGTAAAAAGCGGCGTTAAACCCAACTCACTCACTATACTGAACAAAAAGTGGAATCATGAATGTTTTTGTTGTGAAGAATGGGTACACCATTTCATAAAAATATCCTCACAAATGTTCATGATCCCAAATTGTATAGATTTGTCAGAGAATGGAATCTAGGATCAATCATACATTTAATGAACCACCAATCTAACGCTACACTCCATGAATAACTCACTTTGGTATTTTGGTCGGGATTAGGATTGACATTTTCTTTTAATTAAATAAAAACGCGATCGCGAACGATACTGCCTTCGGTGGGGTTGGCATTATTCATTACACGTTCCATAAACAGAACGAGACAATAAAATCTGTCTTCGAGTCGCGATTGACTGACGACTCCGGCATAATCAGGGGGTATATTTGTAGGTAAACGAGACACCATCACTCATGTTAGCACGGTCCTATTGTGATATTAGGCTGGGTAAGCCTGTGTTAATATACTTTCACAAATAGAAGGGCGAACATTCAACGTGATCTCACCCTTGTGTTTGTCAGAAGGCCTTGTTGTTAGCCATAAATCCCCGTCCTTATCTGTTGTACTTGAGACGAGTGTACGTGTGTAGTGATAGAAGGAAATGAAAGCTCAAATGCTCCACCCTGAAAAACATATTCTGGATGAAAAACTTAAGGATCATGAATAATTTTTGGAGATATTTTGTTGTTGTGAAGTATGGAATTTGGTCTTTGAACAATGCTTCATACATTTTGAAGAAGGATTTAATGAGTCGTGATTGATACAACATGGTGCTTCTTCTGAAACAATCATTCTTGTCGCTGATCCTCAAGTCTTTGTCTTCCGAACACAATTTTCTCTTTTTTTGTGTGTGAATATTTCACTTTGACTAAGTCACTACGAATAGATATTTAACCTCGAAACAAAGCGAAATATTATTGCCTTGCACTAAAACTAGACAACGGGAAACGCTGATGATAAAGACAAGCTAAATTCGTTCGAAACGTATACCTTTTTGACTATCGACGATGTTTTTTGTTCAACAACAAAGATTTACAAGATACCTTATTTGCCGGCGCCGAAGACCCGGGTTCGATTCCCGACATGGGTAAAATGTGTGAAGCCCATTTCTGGTGTCCCCCGCCGTGATATTGCTGGAATATTGCTAAAAGCGGCGTAAAACCGTACTCACTCATTCACTCACTCACTCATTCACTCCTTATTTGCCGGTCCAAAGGGACTGGCAGTCACAAGAATTACCGGTCCACAACTACCGGTAAACGGGAAAAATGCGTACGGTGTAGACGTTAAAGAATTTGGGAAGCCTACCGGCACAGACATAGTCCCGACAGACTAAGTGAGAGAGTGAGTATGGTTTTACGCCGCTTTTAGCAATATTCCAGCAATATCACGGCGGGGGACACCAGAAATGGGCTTCACACATTGTACCCATGTCGGGAATCGAACCCGGGTCTTCGGCGTGACGAGCGAACGCTTTAACCACTAGGCTACCCGACCGCCCCCCAGACAGACTAAGAAAGGTTGAACATAATACGACCGACTCCACGATATCAGACATACGACACCCTTTTTACACTACAAATAAAATCTACTTTATAGAACCTATAGATGAAAAAATATCCGAAATACGTTCTAAATTACCCTTTGAGGTTTGATTTACATTTTAAATCCTTCGTAATACAGCAAACAATTCTTTTATGCAATAAGAATAAAAACAAATAAACCGGTTCATGTGTACAAATAAAATACTTCATGCATTAGACATACTTCTGCCCAAATCAAACAGATATTTAAGAGACATATTAAAGACCACTCCAATGCAAATATATGTCGACCAACTTCGGTTCTTCTATAAACCATATCCGGGCTGCAGGGGATTACTAACTCGAGCAAG